TTTTTTTTTTTTAAAAAAAAAAAACATTGTGAGGTCATTTGTTCTATATTTTATTTCGTTCAAGCAATGATACATTTAATAAACTAACCAATTTATCTTACTAAACTTAAATAGCCAAAATATTCACCACCAAGTGCATCGCATGTGCACTTTACTAGAAATGAAAAGAATGCAACTTCGAAAAAGAAAACGTAGGATAAAATATAAATATATATGTTCTTATTTGAAAAGAATAAAGAAAAGGTAGGATAAAAAATAAATATATATGTTCTCATTTGAAAAAAATAAATACGAAGCGTCAGCGAATATTTTTTTTTATATATAGCTAAACACTTAACTTAGGCAATGTTTGGTAAAACAAACTGATAAGCTAGCTGATAGCTGATAATTATATGTAATTTTTGAACTTATAACTTATAACTTATGACTTATAGCTGAAAAGCTAGCTTATACGATAAAATTGTTTGGTAAATTAGCTGATAAGCTAGCTGAAATAAAAAATTCAACTAGCTTATTTGAAAAGCTACCTAAAGTAGCTTATGAAATAAGCTCGAGCTTTTTAAAAAAGTTCGTCCTACCAAACGAGACTTATTTGAATACAGGGAGCTTATAAGTTAACCAAATAAGCTATAAGCTAGCTGTATTTGGCTTACCAAACACAACCTTAGTTGTTAATATTAATTAAAAATGGAAAAACTAGCTTGAGTTTAATTGGTTCATTTAGTTTAACAAATTCAACTTAGTTGCTAATATTGGTTTAAAAAAAAAAAAGAAAAAAAGAGCTTGAGCTCTTTTATTGGTTCATTTAGTTAACAAATTCAACTCTACAGAGGCTCGAACCGAGCTCAAGTATCACGAATGTGACTCGTTTACAACTCTGAGACTAAATAGAAGACGAAAAAAAAAAGAAGAAAAAACATGATGAGCTCTTTTGTTGGTTCATTTAGTTAACAAATTCAACTCGGTTCATTTAGTTAACAAATTCAACTCTATAGAGGCTCGAATTGAGCTCAATATCAGGAATGCAACTCGTTTACAGCTTGAGAAGAAGAAGAAGAAGAAAAAACAAGAAGAAATAACATGATGTATGAATTTCAACTTATAGTAAAGGTAGAAACGGTTTATTAAATCATAACATGCCAAACAATAAATATGATCTTCCAAACTGCTTATACTACAGCTACATCTATACAAGAAACAAATAAATAACACTAACGCATGCCAAAATTCACAAAATCTAACTTCTTGTGATTCGAATTTTCTTCTGCAAATACCACAGAATTTGAGGCGTACATATCCTTTGCTTATTTACAGAATCTATGCACAATCTTGCAACATTTAGGAGGCCATTAAGTTCCCTCCCGTCGTAATTATTTCCAAGATCAGGATCGATCATCTTATGAATCGATCTCGAGAAATTCGGTTCTCTAACCCACTCTATTAAATCCAACCCACCCTTTTCTGAGGACTGACCTGTAACGAGCTCCAAAATCACCAATCCAAGTTGGAAAATCATTTTTTTGCACACTTCATTCGTGCATACTGCAGTTGCAAGAAGATCATTAAACATGGTCATAAATAAGAAAACCAGTGTTTGTAATAAAGAAAATACCCAGTTAAGGATTTCTTGCTAATAGACTCGAATTCAACGGCATTTCTTTTTTAAAAATTAACGCCTAAAAAGCAACAAACCAATAATTAAGTTGGCAAAATTGTACCTTTCGAACAACGAGAAGAGCCTGGCAGCAAAACTCGAGTTCCAGCTTTGCTAAACAGGCTAATATCTGAAATCTGCAGCAAGAAATGGAACGCTTGCCTTCACTTATAATTGCAAAAATCACTCCTCAATTGACAAAAGAAAATGAATAATATCAGCTAAACAGGCTAATATCTGAAATCTTGTTTGTAGGCTTCAACATTTTAAGATGAATCCACAAAGATTACCTTTGGGATTAGACTTTCATCCAACATGATTGTGCTTGAACTTATGGAGATATTATATATTGGCGGGTCACAGAAAAAATGCAAATATTCCTGCATTATGATTGGTCACATCAGAAGTCGAGCGTGAGAAGCACATATAGGTAAAATATAAAACTTTTAAGACTAACCACTGCAGCAGATATGCCGATTGCTATTTGTAGTCTCGTTCTCCAATTCAACGGAGTTTTTAGAGGATCTAAAAAAAATGAATAATATTAGCTAAAAGAAAAACAATTAGACAATAAAAAAGATTTATACTCGATGCTGAAATTTTACCAGAAAGATGCTCTTTCAAGCTTCCGTTTTCCGTGTTCTCAAACACTAGGAAGCTGAGGAAGCACAAAGAAGGCTACAGATAAGTTAAATCAATAGATTAATAAAAGGTTACGAATTTCAGTTAGAAAAATACAATTAACACCACAAGATATGATGTGCACATAAGTACATTATAATTAAGCAGGCCAAACAAATATGCTTATTTACCCCTACTTATTTATACACATAACCGATGCAGAATAAAAAAAAGGGGGGATTCTTTGTGATTGGATACAAAAATTTTCACTTCACTTCTCATCCAATTCAGAATCTAACTCAACTTTAACTCAACTCCACTATCCTCAATATTATTAATATAATCAAATAATACCATCAAATCATTCTCACACATCACATCTACTTTAATTACTATATTCATCCACTCATATAATTTAAACTAACCATCACTTCATATCATCTTTCTCATACTTTTATATCAAATCAATTTTAATTGTTTTATTTTAAGTATTACTTTAATATAAACTCAAGTTCCGACTAACTAATCCTACCACATTTTTTCTAAATTAACACTGGTTAACTAAAAAAATCCACTTTCAACTGAAATTTTTGTATCCAATCACGCCCTTAGCATTTAAACGAGGTAAAGATCATAATTTTAAAAATCGAGAGCATAAAAGCCAAAGAATGCACAATCAACTAGCGACAATTCAAAATATTACCGCTTAGGACCATCAGAAAACCCACACAGAGCAGCAATGTGGCGATGATGCAATCGACCCAAGATTTGGACTTCCCTATAAAACAAGTCAAGATCCTCACAGACCGAAAGTTTGACTTCTTTGACTATTGCAACACGGCCATTTTGGAACTTGGCCTCGTAAATAGCTCCTCTAGAGGAGCTCTCAACAACTCTTCTGAATCCATTGGTAGCCCTCTTTATATCATTGTACGAGAAGCACTTCACGATGTACGGTGGGCCTTTAAATTTTAATCGAAAATGTAAATTATCAGTCAAAAAGTAAGAGATATGTACGCATAATTTATACTTGGTTCCTCAGTTAAAGATATGCTATGGTGGTGCACAGCTGAAACAAAGTAACAAGTTCAAACTAGATATTGAGCACTTTTTTTTTTAGCAAATACTCCTTGATATATACTTGAAGCAGGAATTATTTTACAAAAAAAAACTATTCAGCACACCTAGTAAATATAAACAATTAGAAAAATAAATTAGTTCCTGATGTAGGCGATTGGGGAAACTTCTAAAAGGGAAAAAGACAAATATATAATAAATTCTTATAATCTCAACTCAACCAAGAACAAAATTCGGATAATTGAGCTATATCTCTAAGATTTCACACCAATTTCCCAACAGTATGTCCAGAAAATATACAATTTANAAAAAAAGAAAAAGAAAAAAGAAAATGAAAAAGGGAAATTAAGATCCTTCAAAGCAATAACCTCACCGGGTCGGGATCGGAGGTGAAACCAAGCCAGAAACGGCAGCCTCATCTTGAGGATCAAATTCTCATCGCCCATTTTTCTATATCGATTTTGAAATAATAAATCATACTACTATGTATGTACTATGGTAGCTGGTAGGTAGACTTAAAGGGAATGTTTTGTCAGAGTTTAGACAGCGGTGCAAAGAATTTATTGCCAAGTGCCGACCTGATCGGAATATTTCTATTTCCAGCATAAAGCAAGAAATATGTGCCAACATTATAATTTACCAACTAGTCCGAATCCATTGTGATGCAGAATAAGAGATATTAATTAATATTTATAAATTAAAAATTATTATTAAATAATATTTATAAATTAAAATATAAAATTAATATGTAATACAATTTATCCATATTAATTTATCAAAAATGTTATATGAAATTTAAATTGTGCAAAAATTACATAAAAATATCTATTTAAAATTATTATACAATATGTACGGTGCACATAATTAATAAATTACGTTATATTCGTTTCAAAATAACTGTCATTTCAAAATTTTTATTCAAAAGTTCGATTTGACTATAATGTGATTCTATAAAATAATTATTTTGGTAAAATTTTATCATATATTTAAAAACATATGTGAATAACAAGTATAAATATAAAAATTATATTGTTTCGTTAATTAAAATGAATTCATTCTGTATAAATTATCTAAATCAAAAAATTTAAGTAGTTGAGTAATTTATTAACCTATAAATAATTAACAATTCCATTTACGTATAAGTTAATATTGACCGGTAAATTTTACCCGAGGGATAAAATATGGACCAAATTTCCACCCGAAGAGTTATGTAAATTCAAATGGAAGGAGTACTGGTACGAGGATTACCTGCCGCAGGGGGCGTACGGGCATCCTCAGACAGCGGCGGACTTACATAGGGGTCCGTAGGGGCACGGGCCCCTGTAGAACTTTTTTAATAATATAGTACATATATGTTGTATGTATAAATGTATTATTATATTGACATAAAAAATACATGTTATTAATTATTATGCAAAGTTATTTCAATGTAAAACAATAAAAATGAAATGTTTAAAATTATTTAACCTTCAATAGTATGTTATTTTATAAGTTGTGGAATTTATGCTTATGCTCAACTTCTTGTTTATCTCATTTTTCCTCCCCAAATAC